CTGACAACATGTAAATTACTTCTTAACACTGGGAATAATTGAATTACGATAAAATGTAATTGGTTTTGTATCGAATAATATTTTGGGAAGTCTTGAAAAATAGTTGGTACGAAGGGATTTTAATCGATTTAACCTGCAAGTATGCGGTTCTAATGAAAGGTGATGTTACCGTGTACCAACAAGGTTAATTACGCGGAAAACGATCGAAGATTTATTAACCGAACTTAATTATTCCATAAAGTTGTCCTTCCAGATGTTACGGCGATCCAACAGATATTACGTAACGGTGTTACGAATAATTACCACGGTTATCCTCGAGTAAAATCTAGGAAAAAAACGAGGAGCAGAATTAACGGAAAATCTGGTCGAAAGAAAAAACTAGTATTCGATTTTTTATAACTGTTACTCTCGGAAATAATGAGAAGTTTCCTATGATCGAAAAATTCCTATGGAAGTAATTCTGTATAAGAAAATACAGAACTATTAAGTACGAAATGGTTTTCTTTATCGCCTTCGTGAGCAACAGAGTGTAAATAATTCAATGGCGTATAATGCGCATGCGTATGTACCGCGCAGGAGAATCGGGCTAATTGCAATTAAAAAAGTAAGCAATTAGTCGAAAGAACACACTCGATTTTATTAACCATGGAACTTTTATCTGTCCTTGCGATTTTATTATGAATTATCAAATCGTGGATTAATCTCGAGCGTACTCGTTTATTTTCTTTAAAAAATTATAGTGACTGAAGAATATTATAATCATATGACATTAGAATTATTTTTAACAAATTGGAATTAAAAAAGTAAGCAATTAGTCGAAAGAACACATTTGATTTTATTGACGATGAGTCTATGGAACTTTTATCTGTCCTTGCGATTTTATTATGAATTATCAAATCATGAATTAATCTCGAGCGTACACTCGTTTATTTTCTTTAAAAAATTATAATGACTGAAAAATATTATATTAGAATTATTTTTAAAAAATTTTGTGGAATATCAAGAATGTCTTTCGTGTACGAAACTGGTCTGCTAATCGGGAGTTCATGTAACGTAGTTGGAGCTTCCGGTTGTTAGCGGGATCGCGTTGCGAAGGATGCAGATGCGAGTCGCGTGCAATATGACAGTTATAACACAGAACGCAAGACAGAAAGCAAGCCAATGGAAAAGCTTTTTGCGAAAGTAACGGAATTCGCGCACCAAAGCCCTGCAAGAATTCCTCAAATCTTTTCAAAGATTGAAAGTCGTAAGAACGTGATCAACGATGCGCGATATGTAAATGCTCGCCTACTGGGTGCTTCCTTTCCTAATTCCTGGCAGATGTTCAAAAGCCTACGAAGTTTCGTAATGCTAAAAGACCGCAACGAGACGGTCCGACGATTATGCAGATTCCTGCGTTACTGAATTTCGGCTCGTTAACCCGTTTCCTCTGTAAAGATAGTCGGCAATTGTGCTGATCGTTCAGCGTTGCTGAATTACGGGTTGCACAAGGCGAGAGGCCTCGACTGTTCTAAATCTGCTAGAATTTTTGTGTGTCTTTAATTTCGTAATAATTTGTCTATGAATTCTTTTTGTCGAAGTCATCGGGGAGACAGGAAGTCATGCGGACGATCGGTTACGTTGTCGATACTTTATGCCGCTCGTGTTCATCAAGCTGCATTAAAATCTCACGCACGGAAGCCACAATGCTATTGCATAACTCTCTCTCGCTACCGTCTTTTGGATTTCTCTGCCTCTATGCACTCCACATATTATTAAAATCCTGAACTGTGGATTCCTTACTAGCTTTGTACTCTAAAATTCTTGCAGTAATTTTCGGAAGACATTGAACTTGAAACCTTAGCTCGAAAAAATTAAGAGATTCAGCAGAGAGGCTGAAGACTTTTAGCAGAGAGTAATAAAATGCAAGAGATCCGGGGATTTAAGTCGGCAGAGGCTTTCCTTTTCAACGAGAAAAGAGAATAAAATAAGACTCGTAACCGGAAACCGAGGCTCGCGTGTCGTTTGCAAATTGCGCTTCGATACACGCCTTTGTTTCACCCCATGGGACCTCTGGATGACTCAGGAGGCAAAGAGGAAACGACGATTCCAGAGATACCAGAGGAAAGACGAGAGAAAGAGAAAGGAAGGGAAATTGAACGCACGACACGTGGACGAGCAGTTTCTATGTTCGCTCATCCTGAGAGAGATTCACCTCGAATGGTTAGAACACGCTCAGGAAAGCGAACCTTAAAGGTCAAGTACCTTCGACTTCCGGCGTCACTTACACACTGCCGCACGTGTCTCTGAGTTAACATTTTTCTTTCTCAGGGAAGAGTAGAAGTTTTTTCTTATTTACGATTATTCGCGAATTTACATTGAATCTTTCCCTCGGGCATTGTAGAATACGATACTCGACAATATATTCTAAAAGATTATATTCTTGTATATTTGAAATTGTAATTCATATAAAAATACTGGACAATCATTTCTTAGAGTGTGACTAACGATTGTATGAAAAGCATGAAGCTAAAAGATGCATTTATGAAAAAGACAGAAAGATTTTCCAAAATATAATTGTATAAATAAAATTGAATATAAAACATGAAGATAAAAGATACATTTATGAAAAAGACAGAAAGATTTTCCAAAATATAATTGTATAAATAAAATTGAATATAAAACATGAAGCTAAAAGATGCATTTATGAAAAAGACAGAAAGATTTTCCAAAATATAATTCTATAAATAAAATTGAATATAAAGCATGAAGATAAGAGATGCAATAATGAAAAAGACAGAAAGATTGCCCAAAATATAATTCTATAAATAAAATTGTATATAAAGCATGAAGATAAGAGATACAATAATGAAAGACAGACAGATTTTCCAAAATATAATTGTATATAAAGCATGAAGATAAGAGATACAATAATAAAAAAGACAGAAAGATTTTCCAAAATATAATTGTATAAATAAGACCATATATAAAACACGAAGATAAAAAACACAACACTGAAAAAAAGAAGTAATTTTCCAAAAATACAATCAAATGACAAAGCAATAATTTTAAGAAATACAACAGATTTCTTTTTACCTGTAGATGCAACAATAAAAAAGAGAGTAAGATTGTCCAAAACACGATTGCATAAATAAGACCATATATAAAACACAACGCTGAAAAAAAGAAGTTATTTTCCAAAAATACGATGGAATAACAAAGTAATAGTTTTAAGAAGTCCAACAGATTTCCTTTTACCCGTTCCGCGGCTGAATCATTGTTTTTCCGTGTCTTCCATTTGATCTCGGTTTAGCTACGGCGAAAGGTTGAAAAACCGAAATAAATTGCGTGGAAGCGTGAAGAAGAGGATGATCTCGGTCGATGACCCAGCTGGATCTTCGTGTTAGGCGTTTTTTCAGTTCCTGTTCAATACTTGCTTCGATCAGTTATGCGAGTCGATCGAGGTAGAATTGCAACAGGCCTGTTGGATTTTCGCGTGCAGCTAATTGGCTCTGTTTGCTGGCGGGAAACCTTCCTATCATTCGGTAAGAAACACTGCGCCTGGGAAAGGGTTGTCACCTGAAGCGATTTTCTTTCATTGCGATAATTAGACGTTCGTTGTTAAATATTTAATGCGTTTCGGGCAGTGTAACATTTAGTGCAATGTTTACTAAATTAAATTCTTGAACATTGTGCATAGGTGATTCTAATAGCAGGGCGTTGGATCTCCTTCCATGATCCACATTACCCTGGTACGGTTATATATTTGAATGCGTTTCGGGTAGTATAACATTTAGTGCAATATTTACTAAATTAAATGCTTGAATATTGTGCATAGGTGATTCAAATAGCAGGGCGTTGGATCTCCTTCCATGATCCACATTACGGTTACTTCTGCGGCGAACGTGTTAACTCGGACTAGAATTCCTGGTCTGAGCAAATATTTCTACTCAAACGGTTCATTGAACTCAAAAGATAGAAGCGTCAACGATAGCTGAAAATCTCAATCTTTGCAAATCGCTGGCTATTAGAGTAAATAGAATTTCATTAGATGGCCGATCCTTAATAGGAAAATCGATCGCCTTATTAGGAATTCACCGGGTACTGCTGTAACGTGATCCTTTTCCTGCTTACAAATTGCCTGTGCCCGGATGGACATGAAGCTGTTTCTTACTCGATGCAAGAGATATTGGGAATCGAACGACGTCCAGGATCTTCATTGGTCCCCGCCACGGAAGACGAGAGGAAGACTCAAGTTCACGACTCTCTCATCATTGTCTTCTCGCGATAATGCCTAGCCGAAAGATGACTGCTGTTTCGTTCTCTAGATCGTTGTTAATTCATTCGCAGTCGAGGTTCTCGAGTATGTGTAAATTAATTGCACGCAAGAGAATTCAGTTTTAAACTACCAATTATCTTAACAATTAACGTCATAGTGTTTCATAATCAACGGAGACATTGTGGAAGATTTCTTTGTTTCTAATGATTTAATCTGCGAGGATTATGAATTTTAATTAAAACCGCAGTCTTTTCTTTGGAACAACCTTGATTCTTATCGTTCTTGCACAAATATACGATAGGTGACTATTGATTAAGCTTACAGGAAATTGTAATTAAGCGCGATAACTGACCAGTTTAAACTAAAAAACGTAACAGTTATTCTTAACCTAAATACGAGAGATTCCAACGAACCGAAGGGAGGTTATTAAACTCGAAGTTAGCGGCTCGTTGACCGAGCGAAACGTGAACAGAATTACAAAACGTTTCAAAGTTAAGGTACACGCTCGCGGAATGAAAGACTCGATTGGAGTCGATCCTGATCGAACGGTAAGCGGTCACACCTAACGAGAACAAAAGCGCGAACTGTTCGTAATTGAATGCACAAAAAAGCACCGTTACTTCGTACAAAAGCATCACCTTTTAAACCTTCTTCTAACATTTACAGTTAACCGTGATTAGAATTTTCTATTTTCTCTGCGATTTACCAACAAAAATAACGAGATATCTTTTTCTAATTGCAGCTACCGTTGCGATAGCGAGTACCGTGCAGATCGAGTGTGCGAGCGAGTCGATAGTCGTCCACATTTCGACCGAGGGTAACACGGAGTTCCATGGTCTGGTGTATCCACGGGGTTTATCGAAGAACAGTTCTTGTCTGCAAGAATACAGGAGTCAACCAGCTCCCATAACTTACAACCTACCCCTCAGATCGTGCAACACCATGCCCACCGAGTTGGTAAGTCCAATAAAAAAGATTCTTCTATTTCGTACGGGGATGAATTATTACCCTCATCGATGAGATAAAATTACTACCTGTATACAATGTTCTGTAGCTCTAAAGATCGCTTCAACCTGGTTTGTCTATGGCTATTAGTTTCTCGCTTGATTGCTCAATATCTGGACGCCCTTTAATGGCGATAATTGACCGTTGCGAGATCTGAACCCTCGCTATCGAGGCTAACTGCAGGTCGTTCTTTAATACAGATGACGCTTAATGAGAGAACGTTTATCGACAGTTCTATTCAATTAGATTAATCGACTTTTAGAAACGTATAAAAGTTCGACTTTGTCCTGAAAAGTTTCATCTGCTACTCTATTAACTTCTTGCACTATGATTTTGCCAAGTGCGTCAGTTAGAACTCACTAATTTCAGCCATAACATGAAAACAGACACGGAAACTTGAAATGTTATGTGAATTTTGTATCATGCAGTCGTTGACTATGCAAATTATAGTTGGACTTGAACTCCGAATTGAAATGTATTCAAAATTCGAGTAAAATTGTTCATAACCAAAGTGTGAGTGCGTCACGAGTCAGAGTGGTCAAAATAATGCAAGGGGTTAATTAATACAGAGATAACGCGAGACGGTTGAGAGTACGTTTATCGACAGTTCTATTCAATTAGATCAATCAACTCCTAGAAACTTAGTTATAAAGGTTCGATTTTGTCCTGAAAAGTTTCACCTGCTACTCTATTAATTAGTACAGAAATAAATGGTATGAAGTTCGATGACGGTTGAGAGGACGTTTATCGTTCTATTCAATTAGATCAATCAACTCGTAGAAACCTAGCTATAAAGGTTTGATTCTGTCCATAAAGCACAGCTTGAGCCGCTACTCTAATTAGTAAAGAAATAACACGTGAACGGTATAAAGTATTCGAGAAGGAAGTTCGATCACCGATCACGATCGCTCATGCGATTCGACGCGTACACCTTTGGTTGAAAAAACCTGTGGAGGCGTGAATGCACGCGTGAGTACACGCGAATAGCCAGAGAAGAAGAAGAAGATACGGAGAACGGGGAGAAAAGAGGATGGTGGAGGAGGGCAGGTTCGTGTAACGAGGGAATCGTGTGTCGAGGCGAGAGATCGCTTCCTCGCCATACCATAACTGGACCGTTATGTGACCGGACTTACGGCCTTCTTCTTACGAACGTTACAAGAGATATGTAGTATGCCAGCACCAGCAACCTAACGTCGCTACGCCTTATGTCAGCGATATACCTGCATGCAAACGCGTGTGGTGCTCGTGTCCTTAACGGACCGCTGGTTCCTTCCATTTGCCGATAATCAACCGCCGGATCACGATTTCCAGGTGAACGGCTAATGCATCCGTTTGCTCGTGATTTTGCGGGCTTTTCTAACTGACAATGCTCGTTAAGATCGGTAGATTCGTCGATACGAGGCGCGTTAAATAGGCAGTTGCCTCGCGTTAGATCACCGCGTGTTACTTTGCCGCAAGCTGTACGTCGGATCGACTTGTGATGTCGTCGCTTGGTATCACCGTGCGTGCAACCTTTTAACGAAGATCACCATGGCAGATATGTCGATTTCGCTCTCCGTGAAATGTTAGAATGCTCCGAGCATTTTTCATAATTCAAAATATTTTGTATCAGCGATCGCAAAAGCATTGTACCGACAGATGTTTCGTAAATCGTTCAGTGTTGAATTTCTTAACAATTTTATCTATTAACGTTGTTTGAATACGATTACCAACGTAAAAGGCAGAGATTACAGGACCAGTATTCATTGTGATAAGCCTTAACGAATGCTGATGTTTCTATCGTACATCTGACGTACGGCAACGATTTGCCTGATAGAAATTCACAAAGTGCAGCAACATCCTGCAGAACCGTTCAATTTACGATCCATAGAAGCTCGCTGGAAGATCACCACCGTCCAGGATCTCGAGACTGCCCACAGTCCCTTTAACGCCCACGAGGAGAGTCCGCAGTAAGGTCAAAGACTCTGCTCACCTTCCTCAACCTTGTCTTACCTAGACGTACCGCGTTCTTCTTACGAGACAAATTGTTCCCTTCGGCATTTCAAGCCCTTAAATTATGCAGACCCTCGTGCCGAGTTAAGTATCGTTATTAGCCGAGAGAATCGATTCTTCCTCTTCGATCGAGCTCACCAGATGTTGCTCGATTGTTTCGTTCCGCGCATTTATCGAATAAAACATTGATTGTTCGATACGTTCGTCGTCCTTCGTTACGCGAAAACTTAACCCCGTTTCTGAGAAGTACTTAAAGACCTGACAAACAAGAGATTCAAGACATCTCTGTGTTTATAACGCTTTTCGCTTCGACAGATCGTTTCCAAAAAGAACGTAATTTCTAGACATCACGTTTCTCAGATGTCGAAGTTAATCATCGCGGTGCTCTTTCCCCTCAAGGGCAAAGATGCAAAGGATCGATTGCAATTACAATCTTGTACGGTTCCATTACCGATATGCCAACGTACTTAGCCCGCGGCTTGGCAATCGTTGATCGCTTGCTTTCCGTTAGTTCATTTGCAACTTCAAATTTATATCGGCGAACTACGAGGAAAGTTGAGATTCAAGTTGCGACATAAGTATGTTACAGTGATAATGGGGTTACGTGAAATAAAATAGACGCGTATATCAGAGCAATAATTATATTTATAAAAAATTAAACGGTGAAGAAACTATTGAAGAATTCGGTGCTTGCAAGACGGGCGCGCAGTTAGAACTAAAAAAGAACTGCTACGACAGTACATGAGTCTGGAGTACTCCCAGGCCTCAGACCCTAATTAAACAATAACTTCGTTTTGTAAAAACGGTATAAACATGGTCAATGCTTTAACTTCAACAGATATGTAATCGAACGTCGAAACCTATACAGCGGTTGTAACGGGAAGAAGTGGCGCTGCCCAAAACAGCGACCTAATATGGACAAGCCGGGCCAACCTCGCTTACGTAATCGCTTCCAACTGGATTTCTTAGTCTAGTGTTATATAATACTGTAACTAGGATGTTTATTTGGGAGCACAAATGATGTCAGTGTCAGATTTCTGAACTACACAAATTGAGGAATTAGCTTTGAAAATAACCTACTCTCTACCTGGTTACATCATGATCTGTTTGAAGTAACAATTACCGTGAAATAAGTTCTTGTCAAGATTGCAACAGTAATTGAAGTTAAGAAGCAGAGAGCCTAAAGGCGAAGGGCTGATATATTTCTTCACTGCAGCAGTGTTTGGTTAGCCAGGTGATGTCATTCTTCGAAGAAGCGTAGCTAATTTGCCTCGCTAATTCTAACTCGAAATGTTCAGTGATCTCGAGAGCTGGTTTAACATTTGCATTTCGCAAATCGATAGCTCGCGTTAATGGCGCCGTCTCAATTTGCACCGGTCTCCATTTATCAAAAGCGGAGGGTGGAGAATTTCGCAAGAAAATGAACGTTTCGCCATATCGTAGAATTTCCTTAAATTGTGAACGCAACTTGTCCTCGAAATTTTATGAGCTAAAATATGAAAGATCATCGGATGAATATAAACGACGGTCTTTAACTTTCGCGGAATCGACGATTTCAACAGATCACTTCGAAAGAGATATTTCGAAAGTTTTTACATGCATAATTCGATCTAAATTCAAGGATATTAAGTGATGTTACGATTCCTTTCCTCGTGTGTAGGCAAGCAAAGGTCGTAGTTATTTTTTTGGCGACTGTGAGTTCTGAGTGGGAAGATGTGGGTAGCGAGGCAACATTGCCCACGCTTCGATCGTAAAAGTAAAAGTCTGCAAAACGATTCTTTGTCATGCAATTCCACGTACTTACTTTTACGTTTCTACTATTTAGGCATCCGTAGCTCCGTGCATTTTAAACTCTCATGTGGAAAGCGTTATTTGCTCGAATAAGAAATAATTCGAATTCATACGTTCAAAGTATCTCGTCGAGAGGAACGATTAAAGTCGGTCAGTCTTTCGAAACCGATAACTTTCCCTGCACATCCAAAACAGCGCCACTCTCAAACTTTCGAACATGTTACGCAAGCGATACACGACATTATTTCCTTTTTTTTACATTTTCCTCTCACACTTTCGAAGATACAGAGAGTCGAAAGTACGACTAGAACGTGAGCTTCATGGACAAACAATTTCTTGCATATTTTAAGGATAAACAGGCATCGGAACAGCTGGTACCTAAGTAATTTTACGCCGTGTCACGTAAGGAAATTGTGGGGAATGAAATTTCACCGAGGAGCAATGTGCAATTACATGCTTCACGCTCTCAAAGTGTGGTAAAGTGGATGATAAAAACCGCAGGTTTAAAAACAAAAGTGAGAGGAAAGGAACCGAGTGTAACGTGAACTCGCGACAATTCGAACACCTTTCTGAAATCCTTCCACGTTAAAATCTCTGCTCCTAGTTGCGCGTAGTACTACGTCGATAACCAAGGAAAAATGGTACCCAAAGCAGCGGTAAATCGTTACATCGACAATTCGAACGCCTTTCTGAAATCCTTCCACGTTAAAAACTCTGCTCAATGGAATATACTCTGCTCCTAGCTGCGCGTAGTACTACGTCGATAACCAAGGAAAAATGGTACCCAAAGCAGCGGTAAATCGTTACATCGATAATTCGAACACCTTTCTGAAATCCTTCCACGTTAAAATCTCTGCTCCTAGTTGCGCGTAGTACTACATCGATAACCAAGAAAAAATGGTACCCAAAGCAGCGGTAAATCGTTACATCGACAATTCCATCAGCATCTAGTTCCCATTACTCCCTTCGTATCCTTGAGGATGGCCTTGCCAATACATCGTTGCACTCGCGTACGATGCCGCGCATAACGGTGTGCGTTAGATAGACGGAAATTCGCATTCCAGGAATCACTGCCAATTTTAATGCGAAATATCTCGCATAACTTTTCATACGATTAAACTGATGCAGCATAAATTTAGAACTGGTTTCTGGTGAAAAACAAGCGATAC